TTATTTATTTATTTATTTATTTATTTAATTTGATTTGTATCCCGCCCTTCTCCTTACCGGACTCAGGGCGGCTGACAGCCTTATAAAACCAGTATTTACAATAAATATCAATTTAAAACCAGATTAAAAGAAAATATTTGTAAAGGCCTAATAATTAAAATTCCCTTAAAAACCCCACTAAAATTCCCTAGGCCAATCCCGCTTGTTGGAAAAGCCATGTCTTATGTTTATTCTCTGCAGGTATCAGTGCTTTAAGTCAGCCTGGATGTACGAGGTATTTCACAATGGCTTCGGTTTTCCCGTGAACTACAACAACTTAAAAACAGCCCTTCAAGTATACGATAAAGAGGTGCAGTGGACGTTGGGGGCCATCCTCTACCGAACCCGGTTTTTACCTTTGAGGTACACCTTTAAGGCGTTACCCCGTTACCTGTGAAATTCAAAGGCAGCTTTGGTCAAACCCACCCCCCCTCAGCTTTAATCATGTTCTCCGGAAAGTTTCGCATTTGTTTTGACTTTGGAGAACCGACGCAATGCTTATCAGTAAAGTGGATGGAGGTCGTAGCTCAGAGGGCAGAAAATTCTGTTTGGTCCTCTCAGTTGGCCTGACACCATTCTTACTGGGTGGGGGGGGGTCCTTGGTGTTCTCTGAGCTTGCTTTTCTTCTTGCAGACGTTTCATTACCAAACTAGGTAACGTCATCATGCCCCAAGATTGCCACAGTTCAACCCTGAGCTTCAAATATTCTTTTATATATATATATATATAGAACAGCATATTGTCTGGATTCAGTATTCCAAGTGTGGCCTTACCTTGATGCATCTGCAGGGATGGATCAAGGCATGCTAAGTTGTCGGGTCGTTGGGTTGTTATTATAGAGCAGAACCATCTCTTTTTTTTATTTATTCAAATTTTTATTAATTTTCAAATAAACAAGTTACAAATATGGTATATACATTAATAAACAAGAAAAAAAATCCCATATTAAATATCTATTCCGAGATGCTCAGCAGCCCCCCCGACCGCGTCCACCCTCTCTTTCACCCTTCCTACCTACTTCCCTCCTCCTTTCTTCCTCCTACCTACACCTCTCTCCTCCTTCCTCCTCTCAACTACCCTACACATCCCACCTCCTTCCTTTCCTCATCCTTCGGACGCAGTTTGGGGGCGCCAGCCGAGCATCTCATCTTCTTCAAATACATTATTTCACTACAACATTTTAATATACCAAAATTTACATTTACATCTTTGATCCCCCACCCCCACCCCTGGACTTCCCAGAACCGAATACAGGGTTATGCACATGTCATCCCAGATCTAATTAAAACTACCCAAACATAATACAATCAAATTGTCATGTGTCTGAGTAACGAAACACTTAAAAGGACTTTCAGGCATGTTTTCTCCTAAAAGCATTTATTAATGTTACAGATATGTCAGCACAGCATGGAGGAATGCTTAGATCTGCTTCTCTTCCGTTATGCCTAATATTCCAAACCTTTTCCACTCCCTTATTGTAAGGTCATGGTTCACATCTTCCAATCAACTTGGAAGATGTGATTTACTTCGGTTTCTTTCTCCCGGGCTATCCCTCTGCTCCTCCCCCTTTCCTAGTTGCTGGTTTAACTATATATATACCAGACAGTTCTGCACATTGTCAAAGCAAGAATATACAGTATTTGCAGCGTTGACACAAATATTAACAGAGCAGAACCATCTCTTTCATCCTCTCCTCTCCTCCTCTCACAGAGACATCCAGCAGGAGAATTTCCGAGGAAACCACCCCCACTGGCGCAGCTTCGCCTTCGTTTACAACCATTACTTGTTCTTTGCCTGCTTCTTCGTCGTGCTGCTCTCCATCCTGCTCTACCTGCTGCGGCTGCGCAGGATCCACCGGCGAATTCTGCACAGCGGCTCTTCTCCTGCCCTCTGGATCGAAGACGGTCTCCCGCCTCAGAAGATCCCCGGAGGCTTATAAGCTGCTGACTGAATCTCAGACCCGCTCCTCTCAGGGTTCCTCTCTCTCAGCCATGCCTGAGCCCCCCCCCCCCCCCCCCCCCCCCCCCCCCCCCCCCCCCCCCCCGGTTCCAGTCTTGGAACCAAGAGGTGGAATTTCCCTCTCTGGAGGACTGTGGGGAAGGCTAGGTCAAACCTGGCTTGACAAGGCTGGGGGACTCTCCGCCAAAATTATTTTAAAGCTCTTAACTTTGAAAGCAAATGCACTTTTGACTTAGGGACAGGGGAACAGGCCGAAAAGCAGGAGAAGGCAGTGAAGACTTTGTGCCAGTATGGGAAATGGGAAAGTCGCACTCAACTCTATGTTCAGTAACTGTTGACGGGCTTGTTCTCTCCTTTGGCTGTAAGTCTGCTGGTGGTGTTTTCCGGCATCTGAATGCAGGCTTGCTTAACCGACTCTTGTGGGCTACCGGTTCACTTTTCCTTGCCGTGTTCTCGAGCCCCACCAAGCACAGAGGAAGGGCCACTTCAGTCTCTCCTGCTCTGATTTGAATAGCAGCCGAGACTTTAGCATTTTACTTTCAATTATTTATTTCAAGCATTTCGACTCTTTCTTTTCTCCCGAAAAAGAAATAGCTGAAATAAGAGGGTGGATAGATCAGTAATAAGGCAGCCCTCGCCACTACAGTCTTAAAAACATGGCACGGAAGGAAAAAAAGAATTGGATTACCAGTTCTCAGTTCTAATGTGACCTCTCATTTTAAATTATGGGTGTCCAACCTTGGCAACTTTAAGACCTGTGGACTTTTTAAGACCTTGCTGGCTGGACGTTGGAAGTCCACAAGCCTTCAAGTTGCCAAGGTTGGACCTCTGTTCTATCAGGACCACGAATAGCGAAAGCTCAGTCTCAAAAAAAAAGGTGGCAGTCCCATCTGTGAAGATGTAAGATTCCCATCCTTGCAAAATGGTGTGCTAAAGAAAGCCTGGCAGGGCGTGTCGTGTCACTGCTGTTGGAAATTGGAGGATCACATTGCACAGTCAACCTCCCTGGAGTTTTTCTCTGTGTGCGTGTGCGTGTGCGTGTAGCAGTTGGTCTGTGTTCGGAAGTGTGTGTGCGTGCACCTATGTGGCATTCTTATGGTCTGACTGTCATTTCAAATGTTTGTGATAATAGAGATTTGGGAGGGGGGGTGGGTTTGGGAAAAACTTTTGAGTAGCAGTGGAATGATAACAAATATGCTGTTACTTTCTTATTTTGGGATAACAAAGCCTTTTTTTTTTTTACTTGAAAAGAAAAAGTGTGTCCGTGGTTGAAAACAACATTGATGTGATTGTCTTATGAAACACAAGATTCCATCGTCCTAGAAACCCACATCTGGTTTGTGAAACGTTGCTCGACAGTACCTGTTCCCCAGCTATTGAAGATGGGGAAAATAAAAAGACACATTAAAGAAACTTGAATAAGTCTGCCAACATTCCATAAAAATGCAGAGATCCTGTGGCCCCAGTTGTTGATGGATCTCTAGGAGACATGTTGCCCCAGACTTTTTTTAGTTTTTGCAGACAAAGAACTTCAGCTTCCTTGTTCCTTTCTTTTCTTTACTTTTAATTTTGTTCTGAAGGCCTTCAGAATTGCTCTTAGAAACCCTGATTCCCATTTGCCTTCAAAAAATGCCCAAGGCCGCCTTTGTGAACATTTTAAGCATTTGACAACAGATGTTGCATGCTGTGTGGGAGCAGGTTCTCCTACCCATAAGAAGCTGCCTTTTTCAAATAGCAAAACATCCGAGTCTTGACTAGGGCTCCTTCTAACGAACACAGTGATGCTAATTTCCTAAGGATGTGGTTTTCGCAGCAGCTTACATCGTTTTCATCCTAAAGTTACATTGCCTAAAGGAAATATGTTAACTTAATTTGACAGTGGCAAATACGTTCCGGGAAGTCAGCGAAGACTCTTGAAATAAAATTTAATTAAAGTTTGATTAAGTCCTGTCCTTGGATAACTCCAGGCCAGAGAATGCCGCCTCTTGCGGGCATCCCATTTTGCTTACCTTAGAGCAGGGGTAGGCCACCTTGGCTCTTTTATGACTCGTGGACTTCAACTCCCAGAATTCCTGAGCCAGCCACGCTGAGGGGAAAGGGAGAGGTTTCCAAGCTGAGCCATGCTGGCTGAGGAATTCTGGGAGTTGAAGTCCACGAGTCATAAAAGAGCCAAGGTGGCCTACCCCTGGTCTAGTGGATAAGGTGCTGGCCTACAAACCAGGAGACCATGAGTTCTAGTTCCACCTTAACCATGAAAGCCAGCTGGGTGACTTTGGGCCAGTGCCTCTCAGTTCCTTTCCAAGATGATCTTTTAAGGCTTTATTTAAGAGTTATTTAGCTTATCACAACCCAGCCTTTAAAAGTCTACACAAATGTGAACTTTGGGGATAATTTAGCACATATCCAAGGGGGAAAAAAAGCATGGAACTACTGTCCAATGAACTAAGTGGCTGTTTTCTGATCCCAAACCATCTCTAGAGAGTCACTATCTTCAATAGTGAAAGTTAACATTGTTGACATAATGCTGTGCCTCGGTTTTTAGCTAGATGTCCAGGCCTTGTGATCAGGTGGCCTCCTCCCTCGAGGACTTAACATTTAGATGTTTGGGTATGTGCTAAACAAGCTTTGCTTTCTTCCTTGAGAGTCAGAAGGACAGGATCTATTTGCAAGGAAGAATGCAAAGAAGGGATTGGAGCTGTCATTCCTCTAGCCTTTAGCAATGACCTTGTTGGCCAGGTGAGTGGCCCTGGTGTCAGCTCAGCCACTTAGCCATACTCATCAAATGTTTTTGTTTTGTTTTGCCTCCTGGCTTGCAAAACAGGTCCTGATCAACCACTGCCAACAATTCCCGTGGACAGAGCTCTCCAACCCAGTTAGATTCTCCTTCTTTTCTTTTATTCCAGGACCCTTTTTTAAAAAAGATGGTTTGAACAAAAGAATTCAACTAGTGAAAACCTACCAAAAACAACCTAACAGAAAGGCTAGCCAAAAAAAATAAAATTATTAGTTTGCTGACAAACATGGTCCAGGGCATTCTGTCCCTCCTTATCTAGGCCATTGTTGTTCTTTAATGATGCGTGGACCAAGTGCCACGTCTACGGTAGCAAACCCTAAGAGGAGCTTGCCCTACAACAGGAGCGCGTTCTTCAAGAGAAAAATAATAATAGACCAAGTACTCTGCGGAGCTGTTTTCGCAGATAACTTTGTTTCGAAGGACTTTTACCTGAAATGCTCCTCAAATGTTATGCAGTCACACAGACTTACTTGATGACATTAATGCTCTAGCCTAGCTGAAAACAGCAAGAGAGGGTTTGTTAAGTAGTCTTTCAACAGATATTTCTCAGGGCCAAGCTTACTTTCAGCCATGTTAGTGTATCATTTGTCATTTGCAGCAGGGACAAAGAAATGCCGGTCCCATCTCCCGTTGTGTGATGAGATACTGGTCAATATAGTTATACATGATACCTTTCTCACCCAGAGAATTTCCGTAATGGAAATTGAGAGATTCCTCCCTTTACATCCAGTTTTGAAAACATTTTAATGACATTATAGAGAGACACAGTTCCTGACTTCCGGTTCTTTTCATAATAGGATAATAGAATAATAGGGTTGGAAGCAACCTTCTATTCCAATAATATAGGAGACTATATTATTCCAGACGAACGGCTATCCGGTCTTCTTGAATGGCACACCTTGATAGCCCATAGAATTTGGTAAGACAGGTCAGATCCAAAACATCTGGAAGCCACCAGTTCAGAGCAGATGAGGCTAACATCTGTTTTCTACCTTTTCTATCCTACTTCGAAGTGGTTCAGTCTAAATCCAGCTTTACAGCTGTGTCTGTTTATCAGAGGTTCCAATGAATGTGTGGGAAGAATCCAGAGAAAGAAATATTTTGGGAAACATTAAAAAGGCAGAATATATTTATCTATTGTATGAGCTTTTTTTTTTTTTTTTTGCCAAAGACCATTAAAAGTACATAAAATGCTATTAATCAATTTTGGTACATCAGTGCACATGGCATTACTTAAAATCTTTAAGAAAGCTGCAAATACAACTAGGTTTTTTTTTAATCCGACTACTAACTATTAGTAAATAGCAATAGCACTTAAACTTATATACTGCTTCATAGAGCTTTACAGCCCTCTCTAAGCAGTTTACAGAGTCAGCATATTTGCCTCCAGCAATCTGGGTCGTCATTTTACCCACCTTGGAAAGATGGAAGGCTGAACCAATCCTGGGCCAGTCGAGATCAAACTCCTGACAGTGGACAGAGTTAGCTTGCAATACTCCATTCTAACTACTGCACGGTAAAACTAGGTAAGATGGGTGGCGCACGAATTTAATAAATAAAATAAATAAATGAGTATAAAACAGCACTGCTAAGTTTACACCTCAGCTTTATCCTTTTATGAGTTTTGCTGGAAAGCGGACCCGGCCATAAGCGCGGAAACAAAACTAGGAAGAAGATTTAAAGAAATACCAAACATTTTTAGACGACCTATTTTGATCATCCTTAACTGGATCAAATTCAGCTTCTTCATTAGTGCTTAGTCAGCAATTTCACTCTGGGTTCTTTTCAATTGTAAAAATGCTTTTTATATTTTGAATTTTGAACAAGAGGGGATTATAATCAAATAGCTGGAATTTATTGTATCCTGTAGTTTCTATGTGGATATGGTTCTCCATCTAGCGGCCAGTATAAGAACATAATTAAACACTATCTCTTGCTTGAGAAATATTTAAAGTTAACTGATCAGATATATTGTTCCCACCATCATTTTGGCTTTAGTTGTCAAATTACACAAGCCAACAGCTTCAGTGAGGTCCAGCTCTTAACGGTAACCATACTATAAGCTACAAGCAGGTAAATGATTGTGGAAAAAATAAAACAGTGTGTGCATTTAGTAGCGCTTGAGTCCATGGGTGCAATTTGCTCACCTGAAAAGGTGTCAACATCTGCCACAACAATGAAGCCAAAATTATAGCAGCATAACATTGCAATCGCA